AAGGAAAATGAAGGGAGTGAATTTCCTGACACGACTGGGTGTTAAAAAAAGTCACAGGTTCAGCACAGTTATTCATTGCAAATAGGTCCAGTGCAAGAAGTTGCACCTGAATCATCCTCTGGTCAGAGGTTGGTACTGGTATGGCTACAACAGCTTCATCTGTTCTCTTTTTGACTTCCTGTAATTCTACAACTTAATTTATTTCTTAAATGTAAGAGTGATAATATATTTATATAATAATAGATTTTCTTATTTAAAAGTGAGGTTGAGTTTTAAACTGTTAGGTAACTATCAGGTACCTGAGTGGTTTCCATTGTTCTGAACTGATTTAAAAAGGAAATTCAATCAGTGTTTTGGATGTACATACTTCTTAGTATGTTTAAATAATAAAACCACTATCCTTAAGTGAAAACACCTTCAGCCTCATCTATTTTACACAATAAAATAAATAAAAAATAAATAAATAAGGAGTTGTCAGATTTATCTGACTTTTTTGGTATTTTTTTTAAAGAAAGAAATATTATTTTCTTTGTTCACTATGTATTTAAGTGTTTTACCTTAAATATCAATAAAATCTGACCACACTTCCGTCACGGGAGCGCGCAGCTCCCGCGGTCCAGTCAGTGTGCACTGATTAAACAGTTGGATACTCTCTCTCTCTCACACACACACACACACACACATACGTATCTGCCGCAAGTGAAACGCACAGAGTGAAGATGGCGATGAGAGCAGCGCTGCGGTGCCTCTCTGCGAACTTTTCGTCCGGACTGACTCAACTGTCGGCCGCCTCGCGGGGCTCAACGACCCTGCTGTGGAGGAGCTGCGGTTCTCTGCGGACACTGAGCACTAGCCCGGTCCTGTCTACTGGTACTTATTTACTTATTTGTTTAACCCCTAAACAGTTGTTCAAAGTTAAAGTTTCTGAAATTACATAAGTGCTTGATAAGTTGACCAAAAAGGACAGGGCGAGGAGTGCAGCTCGCAGGGCAGTAAAAGTTTGTTTTTAACTCGCAGGAATCTTTGTAGTCCTGAGAAAGCAGCAGCAGCTAATGTGGGGCCGAACGACATCGACATTTGATTTGTTTCAAAATCAGCTCGTGCTCACCGTTAGACATAACGGTCCGAGAGAAGGATGTCTGCACTTAATGTACGAGTTTCTCATTTGCCCCCGCACCTCACGCTGACTGGTTAAAACCACGTGACCTTGAAATGTGTCTGGTAGTCTGTAGAATAATGAGCGATAGTGTTGACTGGTGTTAACTACATGAAATCACACGGTATATGGTCTCATTCCGAATTAGAATTAAGGGATATCCGGTTTTATGATGTCAATCATCAATCATGCCAAGTTCTACTCCAGTTAGAAGTATTATTTTATTTACAACCAGGACTGTAAAATAGTGCTGTCTATACAGAAACAGAAAGTCAAATGACAGCACGTCATGTACGTGTTTCACTTTTTTCATTTGTGACTAATCTAAACGATGGAATTGTTAATATAGAGACATTTCAGAAAATTATATACTGAAATTTTGCTTCATATGACGGTTTTAGTCATCATGTTGATTACTTGTCAAGAGTTGTTTTCAATATTCGGGTTAAGTCGTCCCGCAAATCATGTGTCAGTAGTATCAGTTTGTTAGCCATAGATTTACGTACGGCCCGTGACCAACCACCACCCACTCTATTATTGCTTATTACTGATACATTCATTGTTTATATTGTGTTTCTTTATTATAATGTTTTGGGTGGGGAAAAACTAGTCCAAAACAGAGGCTTTACTTATAATGAAACTCTGTCAATCACTGAAGGGATCTTTTAAAAAACAAATAATACAGATTCTTTTTTTTAATTTCACAATATCCACCCATGTTTATTGTAGCTCATGAAAAACCATGCTTCCATTGTGCTTAGGATCTTATTTATTATTATGGTCTGCAGTAAACTAATAAATCTCTCTCCACAGCACTAAAGTTCACAGAGAAACACGAGTGGGTGAAGGTAGAAGGTGAAACAGGCACAGTTGGAATCAGCACGTATGCTCAGGTAAGTTGAGGGTCCCTCTGTCCTCTTATTGATTTACAACACACTTGGTTCAAAAGTCTACAAGATCATTATAACAATAGTGATATGCTAAAGTGTGCACTTTGCTACTGTACTTTGTTCTCATCTGCTGCAGCTGTGCTATATAAAATCAATTCAAATTCCAAGGACACACACCTATTTGTTTGGGGGGCTTATGAATGTTAGCTTGAATTCTTGAATTTGAAAATTATTTAAATGTTTTTCAATTTTTTCATGTAGTGAGTGTGGGCTGTTCTTACACCTTTATCACTGTTTGAAGGTGGAAACTCTGGGTCCTTCACAATTAAATTTCTGTTTATGAGACCAACAATTGCAATTATGTTATTATTAAATGATTATGAAATAGTTGTCCTAATACATATTATACATGTATAACTATTAAACAACTACAGTATAAACAGTACACTGCACCAGTGAGTCCCAAAAAAAGTTTGGAGACACTGCACTACACTAACAAATAAACGTATTATTTGTAACTGCATAACTCATTAACTTTGAGTTATGCAGATTGAGCAACAGTAACGTTGATGTGAATAAAATTCACAATTCTTTAGCAATTAATGTTTGAAACGACTTTCTGATACACTACTATTGGAAACTCTGCCGCAGTTTGACAACTGTGAAACTAAAATATTAAATATACATTTTTATAACTGATATAACAGACCTATAGACTGTCATTATACAGTATTTTACTTCATTTTCTGTGGCAGTGTGGTGTGGAGGGGAGGAGGTGAACAGAAGAAAGAACTTGAAAGAATTAAAAAAAGAACTATTTGCTCCCTGTGTTGTCGGGTCCTAATTATGACATTTTGTTGAATCCAAACCACATACTAAACCAAACAACAGTTGCAAAAAATACATGTATGTTATAATATTGCAATAGGGCAGTTTGTGGTCAAGGGGTAAAAGGATCAGGCTTGTGATTGGATGATTACTAGCTAAAGTCTCGGCCTGAATCAGCTGTGTTTTGAGGAGTAGAGAGAAAATCTGCTCTTCTTGCACATTAACTGTCTGTGAATTCTTCTTTTGCTATGGATAAACATATATGAAAAATTACAAATAAAGTTTTTTTTTAAATAAAGGTTCATAAACTACAGTATTTTCAGAAGAACAGTAATCTGATTTGTTATGCACTAAGTGGGTAGGTGTGTAGTAAAATACAGCCAGTATTGTAGTGAAGGTTATGAGGACATTTTGTTTATTTTCTAGTTTGTAACTGACTAATATTTTCTTAAATAATTTTAGGAAGCGCTGGGTGATGTGGTATATTGTGGACTTCCTGAAGTCGGCCAAAGACTAGAACAAATGGGTAGGATTATGTTTAAGAATTTGAATGTTGTAGAGCTGAAAAAAATGTTTGTTATGTTAATAAATAAATCAATATTTCCTACATCAAACTTTTCCTGTGTCACAGAGGAGTTTGGTGTGTTGGAGAGTGTCAAAGCTGCCAGTGAGCTGTACTCACCTCTGACAGGAGAAGTAACTGAAATTAACAAGGAACTAGCAGAGAACCCCGGACTTGTGAATAAATCCTGCTATGAAGATGGTAAACATTTGGCCAACAATGACTGTTAACACTACTTGAAATTTTTGGCTAAGATTGAACACAACTCACTGAAGGGAATGTGTTCATTGCTGAATGTTTAAAGTGTATTTTACCTTTTAGGTTGGTTAATCAAGATGACAATCGAGAAACCAGAAGAACTAGACGGCCTCATGGATCAAGCTGGCTATGACAAATTTATTAAGTCACTTGAAGAATAATCCACCAAGTTCTTTGTGTTGTTTGTTATGATGTTTCCAATCAAAGATTAGTAGGCAGGGTTACTAACCGATATACATTGAAGCACTGTTCTTTCTATTTGGTATTTATTTGGACACTGAAATTGTGTTATCAAAATAGTTCTGAATACTCCATGAAAACTACCACTTAGAAAACAGTTTAGACTTGTCTTAACCACTAGAAAACCTGAGGTGCTCTTTGTGTCACAATCTGAATGTCTTATCGGGTTTGGTTTCTGTTGCTTTTCTCCCATTTTACATAAGTGTGAAGGTATGGTAAAACACTAGAAAATAAATTTCCGTGCTGTCACATTCGTTTAATAAAATTTCAACCTAAAAAGAAGATACGTTTGCCCTTGTGTGCTTTTCACAGACATGTGCCAAACAATAGTATCCGTTAACACTTTGTTAATGATTGTACATCTCCAAATGTAATAAGCTCTCGTGCACAGGTTGTAATGCGCAGGTTCTTATCACCTCCATGTGCTCACAGGGCACGCTGCTCTTTTTAGCATTTTCTGAACAGACCCCGACCTTTGCCCTCTGCTGAAGAAAGGTTGAGTTACAGAAACCACATAATAAATCATTAATAAACATGTGAGTAGAATCAGTGACCCGACACTATTGGTTTGGAAGATTGTAATTATTTCTAATATGCCATTATACAGAGAAAGGGGAAAATACAAGTGAGGGGTCATACTTTTTAAAAATGAGAATACACTATTCAAATTTGTATTTAGGCAGAGTACTTCAGTAATTCTAATATTGGTATTTTCTTCAGGGACTATTAGTTGTGTAGATTTATATGTATGTCTTGATAAAACATCAAGTTACTTTCAACCTAAAAAGTTATACTGCAGCATTTCAATTCTGATTTTTATATTAGACTAACTTAACAATCACTTGAGGTGCATGAAGCATGAAGATCTGTTTGGTAAAAGGGCTACATCTAGTGGCCAACTAAAAAAAACTTGTTCATACATAATGAACAAAACAATACTTTATTGCGAATAAACATTTATTAAATATTAAATTATGTATTTATGATAAGAAAATTACATTCTATAGTAATAAGGAGTTTAATTAAAAACGAAAATATTCTTATGATAAAACTCTGACATTTTTTAAAGGTATGGCTATGGAAGTTCGACGTTTAGACGTAAAGGTAAGTCCTTCGTTCGGGGCATTGCAATTATGGCCAATTGCATTTAAATAATAAATGTAGGTCGTCAGTAATGTTCCTTTTAATTAAATAAAGTTAAATTAAATCATAGCGTTAACAAAATGATGTACACTTGCATACAAACCTTGTCCACCAGGACAAATATAATCGACAATAGTTTTACCGAAGATTGAATATAAAAGACTGAGTCGTCGCAATGTTTTTATTCATTTGTAACATTGTGGCGGATATGTTTCTTTAGCGTCCGCTGCACAGCGACCGGTCATTGGCTGGTTAACACATATCCCACAATTCACCGCTCTGCTTCTTCCTTTTTCCTATCGGCCATTTTCCTTCCCTGTAGGTATGAGCTAATATTCTCCACATATTTATACATAATCTAAACCAATCCTTTGTGTTTATTCAGTTTTTGTAAGATTTACACACATTTCTATATTGGTTGCGTTGTGACCTTTGCTATAAGGTGATTATTGTGCTTTAGAATTACTGTTAAATCGAGAAAATCGTTATAGCAGCGAACCATCAAGTGCTGTTGTAGTGGGTTTGATATAGTTAGCATTTTGTGTTAAAACACATAATTGTCGTTATATATATTGTTTATATAATTTGATAATTTTGCTGTCTTTTTATACGGATTGCCGAAGAAACAACGTATTGAATGAGACACGTCCAAACAGGCAACGTCTCGGTCAAACACTGTCCTTAGCTTTTAGCTTCATGCTAAAGCTAAGCTTCATGTGCCGGCGTGACAGTCTTCCTTGCTCTTTTTTTTGCAGGGAATAGGCAGTCATGGCGCCCAGCCGAAATGGAATGATCCTGAACCCTCACTTTCATAAAGACTGGCAGAAGAGAGTGCGCACATGGTTCAATCAGCCCGCCAGAAAGATCCGCAGGTAAGAGTCTACTTTTACCCCCCTACCTGAAGGGATGCTAACTGTGGCTAAGGTAATTGCTGGTCGCTTATTTGGACCAAGTGTTGTAAACTGAATCCATGAATTGTGGAATTCAGTTATCTGTGCAAGTCGTTTCCTACCTATAAGTATATCTCTAAATATATCGGCGTATAAAAGTAATACACCAGGTTCTATAGCTTAGTTTCGTATGAATTTCCCTGTTTAATCACGGTGTGATGAGCAGGCTGACCCTCAACTGCACTGATTGGCCCACAGCATCATAGCTCGAATCTTGCCACATGTCGTTAGTTCGAGAGTTCAACTAGAACTTTTATGTTTTTGTCTGTAACAGATCTGGTGTCGCAGTATAAGTGGTTTGTTCAACTCTTTCGAGACTTTTCCCTTCGAACAAATAATATAAAAAGTCACATATACTTATGTACAATTTAGCATGTTGTATACTGGCAGTACATATTGGAAAGTGTCATCGAAACTCGTATTGTTGTTAGTGTAATAAGTGAGAATTGAACGTTTTGTTTGTTTTTAACAGGCGAAAGGCTCGTCAGGCCAAGGCTCGTCGTATTGCTCCGCGTCCTATTGCAGGACCTTTGAGGCCACAGGTCAGGTGTCCCACAATTAGGTACCACACAAAGGTTCGTGCTGGACGTGGTTTCACCCTGGAGGAACTTAAGGTAACATTTTGTATTTGGCTCAGTATTATGTTAAATTAGAAACTTTTGCTCTTTTAGTGTGTTGTGACAGCTGTGTTGTGATGTGTGTTTAAATGGGAAAAAAACTTTAAGAATGACAGTCATCAGTTTGACTAAATTTTTAAGATTTTTTTGAAGATTCACTAGTAACCGGCATGTGCATTGAAATGTTCAATAAGCCTATACCCCAGAATATATCATTCATTTATTGTTGGATTTTTTTCAACGGGACCATAGATGGAAAGAAATTGCCTAGAGTGTGATGCATTGTGACATCTACATCAGTGCTGAGCCTAGGTGATCAGCTGAACAGTCTTTTTCCACCCTAGATTTTGTATAAACTATAGTGGTACTACCAGTTGGCATTTTGTTTTCAACCCTAAAAGACCTGCAGTGCTCGACTTGCATGGTTCTTAAGAAAAAAACTAAACTATTTGCCACACAAAAGATCAAAGTGAAATCTTCTCAGTTATTAAAACAGACACAACACTAAGCTTTATAAAAATGGTGAGGTTTAATGCAGCAGTCAGATGATGACAAATCTCCGGAATCTCTGTATGTTCTTGATGAATATATTGAACCCTTTTTCTGATGACTGCTTTATTATTATACTACTAATACTGAATAATTGGACAAACCAATGTAATGAATGTTAGTCCACAATATGTCATGGCCTTGAAACTAAATGGCTTTGTTTTCAGGCGGCTGGTATCCACAAAAAGACGGCTCGCACCATTGGCATCGCTGTAGACCCTCGCCGTCGTAACAGATCCACAGAGTCTCTTCAGGCCAATGTGCAACGCCTGAAGGAGTACCGCTCCAAGCTCATCCTGTTCCCCAGGAAGACTTCTGCCCCCAAGAAGGGAGACAGCACTGTAAGTTATAACATTTCATACCAATTAAAAGGCAGGCAGTCAGGAGGCAGTGAAATGTCATCCCTAATGTGTTGCAGCAAATGTTGTCATTACTAAGTCTGTAGGTCATTGTGTTTATTCAAGTTGTCACAGCTGTTAACTTGTTTCTGTTCCATAACTGCTGTATGTCCTAAGATAATTGGCTTAAATTCCTCTTTTACAGAATGCGTTTTTTGACCTAGTTCATAATTTCAAAGTTCCCTCAGATGTACTACTCTGCTTTGGCTGTTCAGTGTGGTAACAATTTAATTGTCCTCTTTTCAGGAGGAGGAACTGAAGATGGCCACTCAGCTCTCTGGACCAGTCATGCCCATTAAAACTGTAAGTTTGTGTATCTTAGTGAAAAGTCACAGTGTTGATAAAATGTTGTCACAGGTACAGAAGTGTTGGGAGTTTGCTTTTTTTTTTTTCTTCAAATTCCATCCAAGTTTTATATTCAGTCTGTTTGGCATTGCAGCAGTCAGATGATGACACATCTCCGGAATCGCTGTACTTTCTTGATGAAACGTTTGAACCCTTTTTCTGATGACTGCTGTGATCTATACCAGACTTTAAATTCCAATCTTTCCAAAAAACTCTGAATGTTAAATTAGATGTAGCCTCCAAGATGTAAATGCATATTAACAATGCTAAGTATTGTAGCTTGTTTACTGCTATGGCTGTCATATTTATTCATTCTTACTGTCAGTGCTGCAGCAGACGGGAATGAGACCATTGTAATGCAAAATGTCATAAGTTAAAAGTTTTTCCTGTTTTATTCTAGATTCACAAGAAGGAGAAGGCCCGGGTCATCTCTGAGGATGAGAAGAACTTCAAGGCTTTTGCCAGCCTGCGTATGGCCCGTGCCAACGCTCGTCTGTTTGGCATCCGTGCCAAGAGAGCTAAAGAGGCTGCCGAGCAGGACGTGGAAAAGAAGAAGTAAAAATAGTCAATCTGGAACTTTGCAAAATAAAGTGTTTAAAAAGATTATGGTCTTGTGCTTACCTGAGAACTCTATGGGCCAACTGACTGATTTATTGGACATTTGTAAAAATTTAAATTCAAAACAAAGCAACAACTCAAAGTAGTGGTGTTTAGGTACCACTCGGTGTTAAAAAAAATAGTCCTTAATGAACGACAGCAACAGTACCAGTCATAAGCTGTAGATCGGGGTGGCCAAACTGTTCCACGAAGGGCTGCTGTGGCTGCAGGTTTTTGTTCCAACCAAGCAGTAGCACACCTGAGTTGACAGGTTTAATCAACTGGTTTCAGTTTTCAGACAGCTGATTGGTCAAACTATGTGCTCTTGGTTGGTTGGAACAAAAACCTGCTGCCACAAGGCCCTTTGAGGAACAGTTTGGGCATACCTGCTGTAGATGGTAAGTTGTGACTTGGATCTGTTTGTACAAAACAGTAACGGGACAATGTTTCCTACAGCTATAAACTGTACTCATTGTTGTTTTTTTTATAAATAGTAAACTGCAACAGCAGCAGGTGGTTAAACACATTTGATAGGATATTAATTTTAAACGGCATGATCAAATTTGAACATCAGCCGGTACAATCAACTGTAGTATGTTTACTTTAGTTTTATGACAGTAGGTGGCAGTAGAGCCGCAACGTATTGCACATTGATTAAGAAGCAAAAAGCTCAGGACTGGATGCGGTCACTAAAAACAATCGGCAAATAACATTTTCGGCAAAATAGGTTAAAAGTTGCAATAGGGAGACGGTGGTTTACTAACATGTTTGTTTGTCAGATGCTGAACACTTGTGTATTGTTAGTTTTTTTTTTTTTTTGGTCTTTATTTCACTAGTGCTGATTATGAAGGACTGCAGTAAGGTGGTTGTGGCCATGTGTAGATGGAGGTCTGCTCAAACCCCTCTGTCTGTATAATCCCCAACATCGGGATGATGGTGATGTAGGGGTCAGACCACCACTCACCAGACTTGGTGTTCTTTGTACTGAAAAGTCTAACAGTGGGACTACCCAATTTACCACTCACACAACCATACCAATCGTTTACATGGAGCATTGATTTATTTAGTGTGTATTTTGCATACAGGAAAAATAATTGCTTAATCAAGCGTTTTTTATTTTCAACACAACAACCCAAAGCACAGTTTTAAAATGATTGAACTATCTCCAAAACTTGAAGATCATCTAATTTATTGGATCTAAAGTGATTCATTTGTCATTTCAGTCGTTTCATTTGAATCTGTTATAGAAATGAACTCAAACAACTACAGTCTGTCATTGAGTAAAACAGCTCAGAGGATTGGGAGGGGGGTGTTGTTCTACTTTCCATTCTTCTACTGCTTCATCTTTTGAAGAGACGTGGGTAAAGCTGGATCACTCCTACTGGTCTTTCTGTATAGAGGATGTACACTATATGGTTCCTCTGTGAAAAGTAAAATAAATCCAGGATGTTGCTGCCTTATTTAACTTGCCTGGATGTTTTTGCCCTCATCTGTATGGAACTTCTGAAATGATTAACTGTGAGCATCCAAAATAATCTTGACTTACAGTTTGAGAATGTCAGTATTTGTGGAGAAAAAAAACCCTGAGGTGTGGATTGATCAGAAGAGTCATGGTGATAACAATATCCATATGGGAAATTGTTAACTGACATACTGCAGGAAGCTGAACTATGCATGAAGGTGTGTACTGACTGGAAAGGTGCACCTGGAAATTTGTTATAGTATTAAAATATGTATTAAAATAGAACCACTGAAAAACTCTGACTTTCTAGAAGGTGTTACATTTTAAAAGTTATTCCAAGGATTTGGATAGCGGAGCGTGCCCTTGTCTGTGTCCCAGAAGTCTGAGAGCAAATAAATAATTCAGTTGAAGGTGAAGGAAGGTTGAACAGACAAGTCAAATTATTTTTCGTCGTGAGACAATGTGCAATGTACAGTACATGGCACTGACCTATTTTACAGAGCTCTAATGTAGGACACTGGAAACTGATGCAGTAATCCTTATACATCCATGGTTAAACACACATTAATTGTCTGGTTATACTGACCCATGATGTACATATTCATCATATGTGCTGTTTAGGGTGAATCGATGAGGTTGCATGTGTGTCCATTTCCTGCTGTGTCAGCTGCATTGTCGTATCATGTTCACAGGGAGAAAGTGAGCTGGGATGGTTTAAACCACATAGGTCAGTGGGACAGAAATGATGACAAAGGAGAAGTCGCGGAGATAACCTTTCAGTCCGATGATTTTTTAGAGCCTGCTGAAACTGGAACATAGTGATTGATTCCTCTTCATGTGTGTCATCAATAAGTCACTCTTAACAATCAATAGGGTCTTTGGAATTGTTTAAAAAAATCTTTGGACAAAAACCTGGTAATGTAATACCACTGCTGAAACAACGTTACATATAGAAAGATTAAAAAAAGATTGATTTAGAAATCCACAAACATTAAACGCTCAACAATGAGGCCAATGAACCAACTGAATCTTTTCTTCTTTTTTTATGCTAACAATGCCTGGTTTAAAGTTTCTAGTGACTGATCCCCAGTCATTCTCTATTGTCTTTTCATCTTCTCCCTGTGTGGACTTGGATTTCTCCAGGTGATGTGGTTTCCTCTGGCTTTCTCTCATAGTTCATAAACACAGATTAGGTTAATCTGCTGACTCTTTATCGACAACACTGTAGGTGTTGATGAAAGTGTTAATGATTGTTCCTCTCTATAGTCAGTCATTGTAGGGAGCCGTTCACCACAATGACTGTTGGTATTGACTTGAGCTCTCGGTGTGACCCTGAGGATGGTAAAGTGGTCAAAGATGGATGACGGGAGGATACACAATTGTTCAGTTTAGATTGTTGTACATTGTTGTCTTTTCGTTCTTGAAAGAGCTGCTAAAGGCTGGCAGACCTGACCTCATCAGTCCTTGTTCTCCTCCACACGTTGTGCCAGACAGATCAGGACTGCAGGCAGCTCAGTCAAGAACAAGCTCAGGGGCAAAACAATTGGAATCTGTATTTATCAGAACTTTTTATGCCCCTTACAATAAGACCTTTCCAGTGGTCTAGGCTTCAGAAGTTCCCACCAAAAGCCTTGAAATCACCCAGAAAAATTACTGATCCATTTGCACCTTTACTTTCATTTACTGTGGATTAACCCATTACATGTCGGTATACGGTGAAGGGGACTGTGGACAAGCAGCCATGATGATCTGGTTTCACAGGCGAACATCCTGGAGGTGCTGACCTGACACAGATGCAGCAGCAGATGGCTGATGTTTGTAGCTGTTGCTGTAACAGGGCTCAGGTGTGTTCCCTAAAGCAGATGCTTCCCACTGACTGTGTGGACCACAGGTGACGATGTCACAAGATCAGGTTGGAGGTGATCATCATGACAGAGAACAGTGAGTGTCTTCTCCAACACTGCCTGACGTTATTTTTTAAATTTCATAAAAACATTTTTTATTAACCCAAGGAGAATTTGTTATTCCGTACCACTTAGTGTTTATGTTACATCATCGGTTCAACAGAGCAGATAATTAAAAACAGGGAGCCAAATGTTTTATTTCTCCATGCTGTCAGAATAATTCAATTGACCTGCCTATCTGCTAAAGAACAATCATTTTACCAGCTAAAAGCTTCTGAAAGGCTCAGCTCTCAAAGAAATTCTCCCCATCCTCTGGCACTCAGAGAAAATCTAATGCTGCTAAGGCGGATTGAATTATTTTTGTGAGACAGACAGTGCTTTTTCAAAAAAATAAAAAAATAAAATAAAATAAATGTAAAGCTTCATGGACAGCTCCAAAGGAAACATTTCAGTGCTCAATAAATGCACTGCAGTGAATTTCCACTTCTGGCACTTTAAAAAACCTTCAAACTAATCTTCAGGTTTTGTTTGCACTTGATAGTCCTGAAGCTGACAGAGTCTCAGAGTTGGTTTGTTTTGGCTGCTTTGTCTTTCATGGCCTTCGTAGCTGTTATGCAGAAAGTAGATGGAGCAGCTGTTGTGTCAGTGTGATGTATAAATGTTATGCAACGTCTGGAAATACATTCATGAAAGTATCACGTTTGTGGGTGGACTGCAAGAAAAAAGCAGGAATTGAGTGTAGAAACAATATGTTATATAACACTGTTGTTGTCAAATGATTGGAGACCTACACTGTGTGTTTGCTCATGATTATACTGAATGTGAGACTTCTAAGCTGTATGTCCAGCAGCTCCTACACAAGATGTGATTTCCATGTGCTCAAGCTGGAAAATCCACCTCCGCCTGATTCACTGTCATTTTGTTGAATACATGTTCTTCATGATCACGTGACTTTTTTTTTTCTGAGCGAAGCCACTTAAGGTTCTCAGCGATAACCAATTCAAATGGACAACGGAGACCGTGAATTATGTCCTTGTTAAAACCTGTCAGTCTGTGGACACGGCCGTCATCCACCGCTGTTGTAATCAGAGTATCTGATCTCCACCTGAACGTTCTCACATGCAGCACAGCCCATACATGTCATTATGGGATCTGAGGGGTTCTGTTGATACAATGTCCCAACAAGGGGACAATGTCAAACAGGACCTACTGACCTACACAGTCAGACATTTTGCATTTATATTATACTGCATCAAAATCCTACAGATCACCAAAACCACTGGAGATACAGTAATAGAAATAAATCATTCAGATACTCGGTATCAGTACATATATATACTGTATGTATATATATATATATATATATATATATATATATATATATTCTATACAGTATATAATATATGTATATATTCCTAATGTGTGGAGGAGTAAAATGTTCTAACACCTAAAGAAAAGCTTTTAAGTGTTTTTAAGTGACCCCTAAAATAATTTTAACAAGGTATATCAGGGAATTAAAATGTTTCTCTTCGTCTCAGTGGGAGATTTTTTTTTATTTTTTATGCTAGAGCGCTAACACAAATGAGCTCTCTCCCTCCTCACCGTTTGCACATCAGCATATGGACTCTCCACTACTCCCCTTCTCCGCAAACCGAGCTCAGGAGCTCACTCCTCTTCAGCAGCCCGTAACCGGCGATTTTTGGCAGAGAAAAACAAGTAATTGTGTCATGAGAACACAGTGTGTGCACGAATAGAAAAGAACGACAGGTAAGAAATATATTCATCTTATTTTTTCCAACTCCGACACCTTTACTGGGGTGAAGAAATTAATTGCTGTTGCTTGTTTCTACTGTTTTTAAATATGCAGCCTTAGCGCGGTCACTGGAAGTGAGCAGAAAGAGAAACGGACGTGGTGAAACTATGTTTTGATTTTATTTCCAGCAAAACAACCAAACGTTAATGATGGCTTTGAACGAGGACGCGGAGTTTCACCCGTGTGTCCAATGATTAACTTTTGTTCCGAGTGAACGTGTTGCTTTTCTAACCGGGATCTTGACGCTGTTCCGGGTCAAATTTAATCACTGATGACACGGACCGGTTGACTTGAGTAACAAGTTTGAAATCTAAGGCTCTTCATGTGGTGCCGAGGTTTTTAACAGCTGTTTCTTATTTGGCTGTTGATGAGTCAACGGGCGCTGTCCGCGGTGCTGAAACTCAAACGCGTTCTGGTCCATTACACTGGTACGGCTAATATAAAACCTCGAGTCAATGAGGCTGCAGCAGACAACTGACCTACCTCCCTCCTCTTTCCATAAGGGCAGTTACGTGGGGTCAAAAACCTCATGGCTCAAGGACACTTCAACAGGGCGGATGCCTTCCACGTCCTCTATAAGTGTTTGTTTCAGCTTAACAAAACATCTCGGAACTTACGTAACAGGTCTATAAAGTCCAAAACTAATGTAACGGCAATTTACTGTGTACACTACCTACAATCAGGTACTGCACTATTACTGCGATAATGCTGTGCTGTCCAGCAGTGTGATTCCATGTGTGTCACAGATAATTGTATTTATCGTCCTTATATAATTAATGGAGGTTCTTTGGTAATTTTATTTGCACCAAGAAACAGTTTCCAATTTAGTTGTTCCATGTCTACTGATAATATTGCTGTTCTATTCTATTCTGGTCTATCTGCAGAATACATCATAATTCACTCTTACACTCGGTACATAGAGGATGTCTAAAAAAGACCAACAATTATTTTGATCATCTGAACAGAATCTAGGGTGTGACAACCTCACCTCTTTCATGCTCAGTCTCTCATCCTTACAGAGGTGAGATGATACCCCTCCCCCTGGGGATTGATCTGACAGGAAGGAATAACAGCTTGGGTTTTCCCCCAGGGTTTTGACAGGATCTCAGCTCTTTTTTTAAAAACATCTGCGCTGAGTCAGAAGACTTTGTCTCTTGTGAGTGTGTCAGGTCTTGACAGAGAGTACTCCACTGACAACCACACATACTCCTCTTCTTTCAGAGCTACACCACAGCAGCCTCAGATCACACTGCTTTGCTGGCAGCTCCTCTTGCACTGAGAGCCAGGATGAATGACGTTCAAGAAGCCACTTCCCCTGGAACCAGCCTCAGTGGTCCAGCAACCTGCGTCTCCAAAGTGGAGCTACGTGTTTCTTGCAAAGCTCTACTGGACCGAGACACTCTCAATAAATCAGACCCATGTGTCATGCTCATGGTTCAGACCAATGGACAGTGGACGGAGGTGAGACCATTACTATTTCTTTTCCTTTGATCAGACAAATGCGCATTTGAGGCACCTGAGAGTTGGAGGGTGAAATGTTGAGGGTGAAGTGTTAAACCACAGTTCTATATATGATTGTTTTTAAGGATGTGATCCACTATCTTTTCTTTTTATCTTTTCTAATCTCTATATTCAATGTTTAAGTAATTCTGCCTGATTCCGACACCTTGACAGCAATGTTTTTCTTTTTCTTTTTGGTGAAACAGACAGACAGACTCCTACTCAGCCTTTCACCCTCTGTCTGAACCGACAAATTTTAAAAGAATGCCATTATAGCATTCAAACAAAAAGCATGTGAAATATTCATGGTTTCCATTATTTTTTCTATCTCACAGCAGCAAACAAACAAGCTCTATCATAAAGAATAATCTCTTCAAGCTTTGGTGAACATGCAGTTTTTGCAAGTTTTTTCCCCCCACCATTTTGGAAATATCATGTTTTATAGACAACTTGTTTTTTTTTAACAATAAAACACATAGGATGCAGCCATGTTTGTTACATCAACTTAGTATTTTCAAACAAATCTTTTCCCTCCTGGTAAATTCAGTCAGCGGTCTGCACTGAAGTGTGTGTTTTAGTTTAACATGTTAACGTAGTTGGATTGGTGCCATGGCAGTTTGGGGAGTAGGCAGCAGGTCGCTCGCTCACTTCCTTGGTAATTAAGCTCAGAGAAGAGGTCTTTACAGCAGAGTTCAAATGTAGCTGAGGTATCTAATTATAGACGCTCCACCCAAACCTTCATCGAGCAACAACCTGCCTTATCACAGATGTGTGAGAGAATGATGAGCTGTAGAGCTCAGCCAGATTTATACTGCATCCATCCACTAGATTGTTTGGGTAGAAAAATTAAGACACTATTTTCAGACATAAATGATGGTGGCAACGGCACTTTGCTGACAGTGTCACACACTCAGTTATGGATCACTCTTGGTTGTAATGTGATATGTGGCTGTAACTTGATGACCGACCGGGGCTCAGTGTAGGATGAATATAGTTTATTTTTAGTGCGACTAAATGAAGCAAATGATTCAGATGATGTAAAATAAACACAGTCTGTCTCTGTGGGTCTGGACATTTATGACGGTGTACACAAGTTATCCAATCCTCTGCCGTCAAGTCCTTCAGAGCTGGCAGGCAGGATTGCTCGAGCCAATTGTTTGGTTACATCAACAACAACTGAGGAAGAGGCTGAGCCCACTCAGATAATCAGCATATTAGCCTTTTTCTCTCTTCTCAGCCCACGGCTCACTGATTGCAGACGCTCTTTTATGAAACATGTTCACTTTAGTTCTAAAGTCTCGTCTTTCATCATCTGTTCATTTCAGGAAACTATAAAAGAAGCGACATTTGTCATTAGGTTGTTTTTGTTCTCCCTCTCCTTATGTCACCAGGACCCTGCACCGGAGTGACACCAGAGTCAAGTAGGCTAAAAATACCATGCCATTGATTAAAGAAAGCTTCATTATCTCTTCTCAGAGATGCTTGTACTTCTGGCCTCAGACCAGTAACAGGTGTCAGAGACTTCAGCTCAGCCTATCATCTGCACACTGATAAGCTTTCATCAGCAAACAGACTTATCAGACTCATCCTGAATCTGTCCATCCAGATGGCAGAGGCAGTAAAGGAGGAGGAGAAGACGGGAAAAGACAATCATGAGAAATGGGGAGAGGTGCTGATGTGGAAGTCAGTTCCAACCTGGTGATTTGTTTTGTTATAGAGTATTTGTCAGAGTAAATTGGAAACAAAGACAACTTGTTCTGGTTACAACGACTGCTGTTGTGATTTTTTTAAACACTAAGGTGTAAAGAGACAGAGAGAGAGAGAGAGAGAGAGAGAGAGAGGTAACTGCAGCACAACATGTCAGTGTCGACACAGTAGAACTCAGAGGGGATTAAAATGTATTTACCGTGAATTAATTTTAAGTACTAATGAGAAAAGAATGCATAAAAAATAAATATTTATGTAAAAATAAAGAGTGAGAGAGAGAGAGAGGTCAGCTCCCTGTGGCTAGGAAACAAGCTCTCTCACCTGCAATGTGTCTTCATTGACATTTCTGTAACAAAATAACCACCTGGATATAAACATGTACTGTATATAGTACATCGTTAGTCTAGAAGTTACTGCAGTATATAGTAAATATATACAACCACTTTTGCACAGTACTGCTTCTTGTCCAATCAAATGTACACAGAACACGTTTTATGATGCATCAAAGAAGCAACTCTCTGTCAGGGATTTCTCAGAGGTGTAGAAAAGGAAAAAAGCCATACTTGTTATTTCTTCATGTTAATCTAAGTAAAAAGACACATATTAACACATTCCGACATTCAGGAGTTGCTAATACTGACAAATCCTCTCCTGTCGTTTGCTGTTTCTTTAGAGCTACTGATTTTTTATCTTGTTTAGTTTTTAATTTCATCACGGTGGGAGGTGACCATTTATCATTTACCTCTGACTGTCAGATTCAGCTGTTGCTAATTCATTTGCACTGCATGAGCGAATAGAGCCCAGCCTCCACCTGTGGACTAGTCGCACAGACTTCTTTTATGACTTTGATGACTTTTTCAATGTACTACACTGCAGTGTTTCCCAACTGTTCTTCAGCCACAGCCTGTAATTAACATTAAAAAGTCACTAAAACTACCACCAAACAAAAAATATATGTAATGAAATACATGCATCTTCTAATTCTGGTCATACTGAATTTAATGACTCAGCCTTCAACCCTGGCCTGTTTCGTTGAACATAACATTTCTTCAACAGCTCTGAGACTTGCTGTTTTTATTTTTATTTAAAAAATTTTAATCACTTTTTATAGGTTGCATCCATCACCGTCTCATTGATCAAAGCAGACAAATGATTTTGATAAATAAATCACAGTTTTCAGACCATTTAGGTGAATCTTTCACATGATCTTTCATGGCACACCGTTGGGAACTGCTGGTCTTTGTTTGTTGTCATGTCTTAAAAAAAGCAAATTACTGATGGAATTTTCAGCTAATATTCGGTTTATCCCACCTATTCACTACTGTTTGCACATATGAATTCCTGTTAGATTGAATGAAGCAGCAGATGATCCCAATCTGACCTTAGTATTTAGTCCTTCTGAAATATTGTTCCACAGCTGAGTGGGTGCGTCCTCGTATCGGGGTCCGATGATCATGTGACATTTCACGACTTTTGACCATGTCTCACACAATCGTCTGAAAAAACCATTAGAGTTCCTCCTGCATTCTCTCTGGAAGAGTTCAAAATGTCAATAATGATGTGAACCAATTATTTCTGCATCACTTATTCCATAAAATCTTTTCCTCTTGATCTTTAGTCCAGTCTTTCTGTTTCGACTCCGAAAATACATTTTTTGGAAGCAGTCTTTTCATTTCGGTTTAAACAGTTAAAGAAAAAAACTAAAGAAACAAATGGATCTTTCATATCTCTGAGAGAAAAGGGAAGAATATAAAGTAGAAATACTCCCAAAAATATTTTCCTTAACTCTCCATTTATCTGTATCTGTATTCTAAAAATAAATTAAATCTAATAAGGCAGTGGTGCGTGAACAGCCACCCAAAAATAATCTGCAGATTAACAAATAAACCTCACAGATGAAGGAGCTGAGCAGAAACATTAAAACGGATGAGAAAGTTACTCTCCATGATCCGTCTAAAATAAACCATTGTGTCTTTTTCTCAGCTGGACCGAACAGAGGTGATCAAGAGCAACCTGCACCCGGTCTTTGCTAAGGTTTTCATGGTGGACTATTACTTTGAGGAAGTTCAGAAGCTGCGGTTCGAGGTCTACGACATCCACGGCACTCACAGCATCGGGGGTCGTGATGACGACTTCCTGGGCGGGGTGGAGTGCACCCTCGGCCAGGTTGGTCCTATAGACTTGCATAAACTTTTTAAAACGCTGTTCTTTGAACAATACTTGCTTTTGTTTGTGAAGTATTTCTGGACACCTGTGCTGATCCTGCTCTTCACAGATTGTGGCTCAAAAGAAGATGGTGAAGCCTTTGTTGCTGAAGTATGGAAAATATGCCGGCAAATCCACCATCACTGTAGGTTTCTCTCTTATTTACCCTCTGCCTGTGACCTTGTTTCACGGATGAACTAAACTGTCTGTGTATTTAGACTGAATGTAGCTGATGGCCATGAGCATTCTTCAGAATGGTTCTCCTCCAATGTTTAACACATTTTTTCATTCGGATGTGATGAAGTATTTATTTATTCTTTCTTTATTGCTTTTTTGTGTGTGATGTGTCCTTCTGTCCTCAGTCGGTCCATTTTTGGTGGCACCAGGCCTTATTCCTGTTACACATGAGAATACACACGAGGAGACGAGCAGTCCACAATAAATGATGCATAGTTTAGACATCACAGTGTCAGATGTGAGAGAGTAGAGCTGCTGCTTCATTAACTACAATCATACAGTTAACAAAGCAGAGCTGCTAGCAAATAATCAACTGGGCCAGCTCTGCTGTGATTTGCAGATCACACAGGAGACTATATTTTTTCCAATTAGGTTTTATTAGAAACCAGCTGATGCCTTTTATCTTGTTGTTTTTCTAACATTTATACATAATGGAATAAATGCATATAGATTTATTTTCAAATTGTAAGAGAAATAACTGGTGACTGTTTGGGCAGAGCAGATATTACATTACCTCAAACTAGTCATTCATCAAACTGGATCCCGCTCAATAGACTGAAATGTGAAATCTCAATTTAACTGCTGATTACCTTTTTCCTTCTACGTAAGGGGAATGTAGGCATGAATAGTACATTACTACATTACATTACATTACTAAAGTGAAGCTAGTTCTTCTAGCTTAACTTGTCATCTTTGAGTTTTGACGTGTGAATTACTACGGTCTACTGACTCTGCTGACCGTCTACAATAGAAAAGAAAAAAGAGAAAGTAAAGACAAAGGACAGAATTTGTGCATCTTCAATTGACCTGTTGATATAAGTGGAACTCTTCAACACAATTTGATGTTGGTTTTTTGCAAATTGTGTCCTAAACACCTAAGAACATAATTTAAAAAAGTGCTCGCCTGTAGGAAAGTGTGTGGAAATTATTAAGAGTAAATAAGTTTATTTTTATAAACTTGGAAAGTCAAATTTCTCCCACATCTACATCCATCTTGTTTTCTGTTTTTTCTTTTTTAGGAAGGGTTGTGGCCATCAAGCAAAAAAACAAACAAACAAAAAAAACAACAACAGACATCTTTAACCTTGAAAGACTTTAGAATTGTTGTATTTTAACACCGTTTTCTTCTTTGGCTTCCTCAAATACTAGACTTCATTCAAATCCCTGCCAATTCCCACACATGACATTACTTTATGCCAAGAATACAGGCAGAAATCCCAGTTTGATATTACATGGTCTGGATTTCTCACTGCAGTGTCCCAAAGGCGACATATTCCCCACACTTCCACCAACACAAGAGTCCCAGTCTGTAAAGTAAGGCACAGAATGTTCTGGTGCCAAGAATTCTAACCTCAGGTGGTGGCCCTTAAAGAAACTCACTGACTGACTGACTGACTGACTGACTGACTGACTGACTGCACGACGACTGGATATTCAGAACGTTCTATGAGCACAAGATTGAACAGCCACAGAGGAAAACCACCTTGTTCTCCTCAGGTAGAGTTCATCATCTGCTGGCGCCTCATGCTCTGAAAAACGACAGAGCGGAGCAGCAGTCTGACAAGTGTCATTTCACCGCTTGCGAGATGTAAACTTTTTTTTTCTTCTACGTGGAAGAAAAGTCAAGTTTTCAAATGTTAATTTTCTCTGCATTCAAAAGCAAACTAAAAAAAATTTTCTGATTCATGTAGTAAAGATTTTTTCCAGTACAAATAAATATGAAGGGGAAAAGCACTTAAAGAGCAAGCTTTGTGGGAGCCTGCAGTGGCAACATTTCAGTCAATCTGTAAGTCAAGGCCGTACAAGCTGAGAAGCAGGGTGAGAAAACAGCAGCAGCAACAAGTACTCCAACCACTCAGAACAATATAAACCTGGGCAACATATTGTCAAAGGTTTGGACAATGGATCCTCAACACAAAGACAGAGATTCAGATGTGCTGGTTATTGGAATGGATTGGTTCAAAAACAAGGCTTGCTGCGAGAGAAAGGTCAAGTTAACGTCACGTCAAAACACCATAACACAAACTGTTACGGCAGATATGTTTCTGTAATGAAGAGAAGCAAGGTTTCCAGATGGACATTGCTGTGAAGTAATTTTAGTTGTTAAACATAAACTAATTCAAGAAGTAATAGCGAAGTCTACCAAGTCAGTAATCTTCCGCAGTTATTTCGTAACTTGGGAATTTAATGTCTGCGGGTCTGTGGTTCATTTGACAAACAAACGACTTGACTGTTGTCTGTTGTCGCCTCTGCCTGTTTTTTCTTATCACAATGCAAATGACCATTTTAGCAGGGGAAAAGCTCTGGACTGCAGGCAGGCCAGCATCCTACTCATATAAAAATCCTTGCATTTCTAGGATAAAACAAAACATCAAGCTGAACATGGAATGGTTTCATTTTGAACAGAATGTCATTCACGGTCTTTGTGTAGTTTCTAATAGCTGACCAGCTCAAAGCTGGTCTGACTGGAGAACAGAGGGAAAAGATCAAGAGGCAGCCACTGACTCACTCACTGAATAACAAAATATTAAACACTGATCTTGTTTCCCATCAGGTGCACGCTGAGGAAATTTCTGGCAACAACGGATATGTGGAGCTCTCTTTCTGTGCCAAGAAGCTTGACGATAAGGTGAGATGAGCACATGTTTTTAATGGGAACACCAACAGTGTAATGTTTTCAGACGAGCCCCAGTAGACGAGGGGAGACGGGCTGTAAATTCAAAGTCTTTGTTTCAGTGGTCTTAGATTATGAATACATGCGGTCCATGTGACCAGGATCTAAATGTCATACACACTGAGAGGACAGGGTGTCCTCCTCACACTGGTGACATGAGTGACACGAGGATTATGTTAAACCTCTGTTTTCGTTGATTCAGTGGATTGATTATGGATCTGTTTTATTACTGGGTGTAGCACTGACCTGAGCTGCTTCTGTTCACTCACACTGACAAATACACCTCAGGGCATTAAATGTCAGCTGGAGCTGACATCTCGCCACAAGTCTGACGATTTGAAGTCACACCATGTCCTAACAAGCAAGCCGTAGCATGAAAATCTCTGGATGTGCTGGAATCACAGCAGTGCTGTCAGGGAAAAAAAATCCTGGTTGTTACGATGCTCTAGTGTGGTTCGCTTTGAGCAGCAAAGTAATCTGTGCCGGTGGCTACTGGTGTGAAAGCACCATTAGACCACAGATACAGGTCTGTGTAATGGCGAGGTTCTCATCAACCTGGCTGGGATTTAGGACTACGCCTCGGTTTAAAGTTTGACTTCTTCTATCTGTTTTATATGTTGGTACATTTCTGATCAGAAATATATTTCTACATGGAAATAATTGTGGTTTTGTTTCTCATCAGTGGAATGCACTGTTGGGTGGCAGTGGTTGTGTTGATGACAGCTGACATATGAAATGTTTAATTTCTGCCTTTTTATCCATTACTCCTCCTCTTTCCTCCCGCTCATATCCTCCCGCGCTGAGATCTGTTTCCAGAGAAAGAGTTCTAACTGACAGAGAGCCAGTGGTTTCCTCCAGGACAGTGTTTTGTCATGTTTGTTCAAGCATGTCCTTCTCTTCCTTCTCTCCTTTTCATAAGGCTCATGCCGGAGACAAAATGATTCCTTTGAGAAGCCGAACTTTAACAGTTCCTTGACACTCCTTTGCTCTCCAGCAGACATCCTGTAGTCCTGGACCACTGCTCTGTTTCCAATATAATAAGTTTAAGTTTCCATCCATTTTACATTTAGACTCTACTCAGTCCTTCCACACATTACTGTGTTATATAGAATTCCCATCAATGTGCACAGAGTCATTGATGTAGTTGTAGTTTACACTCATGCAAACACACACACACACGCACATACGCACACTAGGGGCAGAGTGACCTATTTAGAAGAGATGGCAGGATAACAGCTAAAAGACAAGTGTAAAAACAAAGCTGTGAGATACAGCCACTCTGTGTTCTTTCCACTGATAATGTACTGTTAATTTACTTTTGAGCCAGACTTTCTATAAATATGCAAATGTGAAATTGGTCTAACTCCAGTCCATTTCCTAGTAACAGAACATGTATTTTTCCAGGGCTGAAGCCTGGTTTTAGTGTTAAACCATCAAATGAATGGTTGGTGTTGGTCATAAAAGTGACATTGTTAATGGTATAGAAGCTAGCAGTGGATCATGGCAGTGAGTGACCTCCAAATATGCAGTACTGGGAGTACTGTAAGAATGGGCTGTGATGATGTGATGACGTTTTAACAACAGCATAGTTTTAGGTGGTATTTTAATGGAAGATGAAGAGGAATTTCTAATTCTACTTTGTGTAACATCAGATTTCCATTTGCCGTTGGAGTAACATTTGTGAGAAAAATGTCTGTTATGTTAGGAATACCTTAACATTCTTCTCTTTTTATCATGTTTTTTTGTGAATATATATATATAATAATATATATTATCATGAACCTCTTATACCTGAGTGTGGAGTCCTTGGGATTAAATTATATTTCTGTTCTATGGCTATTATACTGGATTGGTCAAGTGAAGAGAGACGTGAAACAATGTAGGAAAACTGCAGTACAGGATATTCCAATGGGTGAGACTTATGTTTAAGCCCCACTAACAGCTTACAGTAAAATTACTGATAAAATGTAGGCAAATTATTTTAAAAAATCATGTTAATCTTTTTTGTAAAAAAACAGAACAAGGAAAATGTGTGTGACAGTGGCAGAAAAGTATGTGAGATTATCAGTGTGACGTCCGTATCACCCCAGCCTGCTGTAATTACCCAGCATCACTGTTGGCGTTGGTAACCAGCAGGATTAATGGCCAGATATCACAGGCGCTGTAGATTGACTCGTATTCATAGCACGGGATTAAATCTTGACATGTGCGTCTCATCTGTTCAGTCCATGCTACTGACCCCCATGGCTAGCAGTTGCTATGACAACAAAAAGCGGATGCTCTTTTTTTTTCTAGTTGCTCCTGTTCCTCAGGAGATTTATTAGGCTAATGTGGCGGGAAATGCAGCAATAACTGTCTCATTTAGTGGTCACACAAAAGCCTCTTACTTCACAGCACTCACAATACAACACACACATACTGTACACACATGCACACGTGTGTAGAGAGGCAGCCATTTGTTTCCCTAATCTGAACCAAAGCTGGTTATGTCTTATCTTTTACAAAACCACCAGTGAGACCCTGCTCCATTAACACCAGTCTTTAGTTTCCATTACGGACCACTGGTTGTGACGTCCCTTCAGACTCAGCGTCCTTTGCTCCTGCACTCAAGGCTCTGGATGAACCTTCCTAGCGGTGCTTATGTTTAAGCTGCACCATTACCTTAACACACTAACATTAGTGTTAACCTTGAGTTAGAACTAATAACACAGACTTTTTTGGGGGGATGCAGGTCAAGATCATGACATTACGGCCATGGCACTGACATTTGATGTGTCTTGTGTTTTTACAGGATCTGTTCAGTAAATCAGACCCATTTTTGGAAATCTACCGAATCAATGATGACGAGACTGAACAGCTTGTGCACAGAACGGAGGTAAAGTCATCACATTCTGTTTTTAGTTCCAGTCCAGCTGTTCATCGACAATTTTCACCACTTTGCCTCACGTGTGGCGTCTTCCTACTCTTACTAGGTGATTAAAAACAACCTCAACCCTGTGTGGGAGCCTTTCAAAGTGTCTCTCATATCACTCTGCAGCTGTGACGACGAGCGAAAGCTGAAGGTGAGGAGCTTTAAAGGGGAGTGGGGCACACACACTGACAGTGTAAGGCATAATAGTAAACAGTATTTTCTCTGTGTGCAACAGTGCCTCGTGTGGGACTACGACTCCAGAGGGAAGCATGACTTCATCGGCGAGTTCTACACCACTTTCAGGGAAATGCAGAAAATCTCTAGTGGAAATAAGGTCAGAGAAATGAGAGTGAAGGCAGCAGCAACCCACATCTATTTCCAATATACGTTTCATTTCACTCGGCCGACATCAATCACAGATGGAGCCAAACCATGTCACGTACAGATGATTCTTTCCCAGCATTCAAAATACACGAGCTTTAAGCACCTGTTCTTTGTCTTCCTCTTCATTTGTTTAAGGTGACGTGGGATTGTGTGAATCCCAAGTACAAACAGAAGAAGAGGAACTATAAAAATTCTGGACTCGTCATCCTCAGCGATCTCAAGGTAGGAATCTGCAAGAGAAATGTATTTAATTGATTATATGACGGGAAAATAATTAAAAAAACAGCTTTCAACAGATAAAAAATGTAAAATGAAGAAGCCAAGAAGGCTAGAATGCAGGTTCCCAAAAAGTTCAAACATCACTTCACCAAATAGGGCCGGGAGAAGGACAGAGATGATGAACTGTTAGCAATAATATTATATATAATATATAACGATTAGGGCAAAAAAAAAAGGAGCAAAAATTGATGAACCGTTAGCAATAATATTATATATAATATATACTATACTGTCGTACTGTCTTGTTAATATGAAAAAATACCCATATAAATATATGCAAATGAATAATTGAAAATGTAGCCTGATAGAGTTGAAGGATTTTTCTCCTTACTGTGTCTTGACATGGGCCTGTACTGTAGAATCTGTTGAGAGAAATTCTTCAACCTGAAATTGAAGCTTGAAAACGCGGTTCAGTATGTTATTAATTCTTTTTTGTAACGTACTGAACCAATTGATTTAACAGGAAAAAAAACACACGTCTTTCTATACGCAAGTAAGCTGAAGTATTCTTTCATCCCTCAGTGTTTTCACAGCTATGATGAGAAAATAGCAAGAATTACATACTTCAGTTTGTAGCCCTAACAACAGATGTGTTCCTTTATTTGTAGTGTATCCAGGTCTAGTGACTGTTGTGGATCACCCGCCCCCCCCCTTTTCCCTCACTGTAGATTCCTCTATAAGGTAACATTCTCCCTTTATCCTGCAGCTCCATAGAGTGTATTCCTTCTTGGATTACATCATGGGAGGATGCCAAATTCACTTTACGGTAAGCTGAGGAGACTGTGCTTTTAACTGCTCCGGCTGAATTAATTATCACTTTCATGTTCACAGTTACTCAGGGTTTGTATTTTATTTAAATATTATTTTCGGACATATAGGATTTCTTTTCGGCCCCAATGTTTGTTTGTTTTTTTGTTTTTATTTTTTGTTTTTTTGCCTGTGTGCACACAGTTGCTGCGCTGTACATAGGCAGATATGAATTCTAGTCTTCTGCAGCTCCTGCCCTTTAGTCTGGCCTCTGTTGAGTTAGCTCTCAATGCAATGAATATTAATCATGTAGACCGCTGTGATACATGCAGCTCCTCTTTGTTGAAATAGCTGCTTGTATGAAAACTATGGCTGCCGCAGAGCATGTGGGTGTAGAAAGTGCAACTTCCTACCTCTGATACAGATAATTCATGCAGCTGTTAGAGATATGATGGGCTTCCTGCCATGTAATAGGCCAGATAATAGTCTGAGGAGTAAAGGAGAACTGTTCTGTTTATATTCACTTGTCCTCACTGTTCATTTTATGGTCTTTTTTTCCCCCAGGTGGCCATTGACTTCACAGCTTCCAATGGAGATCCTAGGAACAGCTGCTCGTTGCACTACATCAACCCGTACCAGCCCAATGAATACCTGAAGGCCCTGATTGCAGTGGGAGAGATCTGTCAGGACTATGACAGGTTGGGCACCATTTTTCGTTTGTTTTTTAGTCAGAGCTGGTTGTGTTGCTATTCCATACAATCGGTCATTTTATGCACATATTTTACTTTGAAACCCGCAACTGCAAAATGGTAAAAAAAGAGACAGACAATGCTGTCTATAATATAATATAATATAATATAATATAATATAATATAATATAATATAATATAATATAATATAATATAATATAATATAATATAATATAATATAATATAATATAATATAATATAATATAATATAATATAATATAATATAATATAATATAATATAATATAATATAATATAATATAATATAATATAATATAATATAATATAATATAATATAATATAATATAATATAATATAATATAATATCATATAATATCATATAAAATAATATAATACACAGAACAGTTCCACAAGTACGTGTGTGCTGTAGTGAATCTCCACAGCGTGTGTTTGTTTGTCTGCTCAGCACCCACTGTTTTACATGCCCTTCACAGAGGTGGCAGCGTGTGCTGTCTCCTGTTGATAAATCCTGTGCTGGTTCCTCTCAGCAGCTGCTGCTGCGGCCACTGGTCCTCCTACTGAACGTACGTGGGGCTCATTGCCCTGAACCACATGCAGTGATAGGGACTAGAGCAGCAGGAGAGCAGGCACTTCAAACAGAGGTGGGAGGCATTACGGTTGGAGGTTTGATAGAGGAGGTGCAGAATGGAGCCCATTAAAGAAGCACTTGAATTTAATTTGAACAAAACTCTTCATAGCATTTATTGTTCTGTGATCTTAATATTCCGCAAAATAATAAAGAAGCATAACTAAAGGCGACAGATAGACAAAAAAAAAAAATTCCATGCAGACTTGAAAATACTTTGCTTGTACTTATAGTAGTAGTAGGTTTTATAGTAAACCCAGCTGTGGACCAATCTCTCACATTTATGGGGATTCTTTTATCTTGAACGTCCTCTAAATGTTTTAATCAAAATTTCTATTTACATATTTGACACAGCCTTGTTCATGGAGACCTGCTCCTCGTCAACCAGTGAGGGCCAGTGTGGGCAGCCCTTCCCTCTAAAGCTCGCTGAGGTGTTTTAAAACGTGGGCAGGCAAACCTTTTAGCCTTCAGTGAAAATAGGTGATGTGGGATTGTGAAGTCCTTGCAGAGGAGTGCGTTATGAAGCCAGAATGACAAGCACATTGTCGGTGTGGGCCGAGGCTCGTGCACCGTGCTGAGAAAACAGGCACATCTCCCTCAGGCTGCTCACAAACGCCGGTGTTCCCAGACATACTGACACGGTGAACATGACATGATACGAGCTGCAGGCTGAAGGTGTGATGTCATCTACCTCAAAGACACGGCCATAAACATTTATTATCCTTCGACACATTCAAAATTGTGTGGAGAAATCAATTCAGAGGAGTCCAGACCAAGGTCAGAACTTTCAAAATGTAATAACTGAAAATGTTAATGTGACTCACATTAAAAGCAGCTTTAGAATTCTTTATAAAAATATCAGTTTTTCAGTTTATTTCATTACCAAGGGCAGGTTATTTTGCCTATCACACATGATGGAAGATCGCCACATTGAAAAGCCAGAAATTCAGCGACTAAATTACAACACCCACCATCTGGCCTGGAAAAATGATCCAGTAATTAGCGCGGAAATACAGTTGCAGCAAAAGCTGCTTAAAGTCAGTGTTAATAATGATCAGTTAGAGTTGGTGGTTAGTTTAACGTTAAATAATTAAGGCAAAGGTGGTTAGAAGACAGTGATTATGTAGACAACAGGTTAATCAGTTTGTAACTGAAATAATAGCTTAGCTAAAATATAGTAAAGAAAATCAATAGTTAGCTAAACATACAAACTTTCCAATAATGAGATGGTTTTAAATCTTTAGTTTGGTTGTTTACTTTAATCTGTTAACTAAACATTGACTGTAAAGAACTAGAATGGAAGAAGTCACATTTTTAGGAAGCAATAATGGGTTTATAATAAAAGGAAAACCCACCATGAAGTGAACAGTAATCCTTCCCTTTTTGCCAAACTGTTCAGAGGAACCAAGTAACTGAAGATGCTGCAGTGACAGAAATAAAGTTTAGAAGTTGGAGTTATTTGATAAAAGTAGTGAATTTAGGACGGTGAAGGTGATATTGAGGCAGATTTATCTGCTAATGGTTGGACATATATAAATATTTTTGGTTTAAACATCCAGTAACTGCAGAGTTAGTGACTGAATACATATCAGTCCACTGAGATATGAGAGGCTGAACAGCAGAAAATTGAAGTTAATCCAGTTCGTATATAAATAATATCGTTCCTTTTTTTTATTTTCAGACTAAATGTGCTCTCGGTGACCCATGTATTATATCCAGGCTGAGTTTATCCTCAAGCCTGCGGCTGTTGTTGTTACCAACAGCAGCAACTGTAAATAGACAACAGCGAGGTGAAGAAAAAAGACACACGTTATCGTTTTCTCCTCCAGAATCCTCGAGGAAGAACACAAAAATAATAGCAACAGTAATGTAAAGAGTGTCAAAGTTGAATGTGATTAGAACTGCTCTGTTAAAACTGCTCTGTTGTACATGCACATAAACACAGGTGTGTCATGACGTCACCACCAATGATGGGGAAAACCCCTGAAATCTAACATTGCGTCATACTAAACACATTTCATTCTGTGATAACACTGGAGTGTCAGAATATATTTTATAAATCCAAGAATATTAAAAAAGGGAAAAAAAAAATCAGCTGCAGCAGAGAAGGTGTTGTTTGTTTGTCTGTTCCAATGTTGTCTTTTGGTCTTGTCTCTTAATTCAGTGACAGAAAACACAGCTGTCTCCGATGACCTTCAGGGGTCAAAGCGATGCAAACATAGTAGAAGATAAAAATAAAAAACTCTGGCCTTTTTACATCAGCTGTAGTGTTTTGTTGTCTGCTCTTTGACAGACAGGAAATACAAAAATGTTAGAAATACACACACACACACGCAGAGTAAAGGAGAGACTCCAGTCTTCTAGAAAGATCTTGGCCAAAACACTTTCAGTGTGAGCGGCACTGATGTCTGTCTGTTTTTAAACACACTGTTATGAATGTTATGCAGACCTGTGATTGGCAGGTTTTCCACCTTTGGTTAAATGTCACACTGGTCTTTAGTCCTGTATTTTTGATATGCTAATGAGGCTGATGTTATCATTTAAATGTAGCTGTCAACACCCCAGTCTCTAATTACACCTGCATTCTGGGTATGTTTTCCATCACAACCAACTGAGGCTGAAACAAAAGTCAAATCGTTGCATACACTGTGTCCAAAATCCCAACAACAACAACAACAAACATGGTTCTTTCCTGTACTCTGAAGTAAAGGGGGATTTTTGTGTCTTTGGGGAATTTATGAGCCATTTTTAGCTGCACAGATGTTCAACTACTCATACACACCAATTAGTCTTTGCTCTTCAGGAAGAATTTAAATGCATCTGTTGATGAGTCAGAACGTCCATGATTCATTCATGATCACCGACAAATAGGAAAATTGAATGTGAAGGGACCTGATGTGTTTGCTGTGGTGTTCTGGTGATGTTTCTGTTTCTCTTCTTTAATCTTCTTCTCATTTTAGTCCATCCAAGTGTAGTCTTTATATTCATGGCTGCCTCAGGCACTGATGTCTCTACTTATCCACAGACACCATCCTGGTAGAGCTTATTTTAGTAATCCTTAAGGTCCACGGGGTAATTCTTCCTTTCGATTTTGTTGTCTTCAAAACCTTTTGACCTGTTCAACCTCAGGCGTTAATTAAGTCTGCATAATAATGTGTTGTGTAAATATTAGGTGTATATACATAAATATTTCAACAACCCTAATATTTATTTGTAAAGATAATTGCCCAAATTACAGTGGAACCTCGGTTTTCAAACTTAACTCTTTTGTGAAGGCTGTTTGTGAACCAAGAAGTTCAAAACTGAAACAGTTTTCCCCATAGGAATCAACGTGAAATGGATTAATCCGTTCAACAATAGTCGTTTTTCAACAATACTTTCTATACAAGTTCATACCCGTAAACCAATGAAAATAATTAGATCTAACAAAAAGATAAACACAACTGAATAGAGAATAAAGCTATAAATAGGAAAGACAATTTTATTCGTCCTTACTGGTGCTGGGGAGTCGTGATTGGGCAATGTTCACTTCACTTTCTCACAAATTATTTTCTTTTCGTTGATCCAAATCAGTAGCAACTTTGCCACTTCTTCTTCTAATGTCTGAGATCTTTGCTTGGTGATCACAGTCACTCCTTTGACAATCTTAGCTTCTTTTATTGTTTCCTTGTTCTTAACGATGGAACAAATGGATGACTTTGCTAAGCCATCCGATTTGAAACACAAGCTTTATTTTCATGCTGTCGTATAATATTTATTCACTTTTGTTGCTCTCGCTATATAAAAGAAATAGCACACAATAGAAATACTGGCAAAATCAGACACCAGTTCTTAGTGTGTATATCCTGAGTGCAGACTCAGTCACTCAGTCATCACTTGCTGCTTGCGTGGTATTGTCTCTTGTTCAGCAACCAAGTTATGGTACGACAACCAGGGCATTTTTTGTATGAAAAGGGAGGTGTTCGATAACTGAGGTTCCACTGTACTCATAAAAATAGTAATAAAAACCTACTTTTCTTTTGTGTTTTAGTGACAAAAGATTTTCAGCCCTGGGGTTTGGAGCCAGAATTCCTCCAAACTATGAGGTGAGTCTGTTCTTCTGTACAGCACATGGTTTACCCATAGATCTGAACATTTACATTATCTGAAAGGTTGGCACAAATGTTTTTAACATTGCTAAAATTGACCACAGTGAAATCCAAAAGTCATTTAAATAGAAGTTACAGTTACATTTGAAAAACAACGGAGCGGACAGGAGTGGACAGGAGCGGACAGGAACACCATGTTCATCCCTCTGGTCACATGAACAACATTATGTCCATATGTGTGCTTTCTCTGTGGATCCTGCTGTTCCTGTTGATGTTCACTTCGTTGATTCTCTGCCCAGTTTATGATGCACTTTTTCATTTTTCACAGTTGAAACTAATCAGTTATTTTTAGTCATAAACCCCTTGTCCTACAATATCAACTCGTCTTGACAACAATTTCATATTACAGTAGAAAAAAAAGCCCTGCAGTGTTGAAGAATTTAGTGTGGCAACGTTTGTTTAAGCAAATTGGAAAATGAGATACAAAGGCTTTAGTGTTTTAATAGAGCCCTGGAGACACATCTGACATGTGATCACACACACACACACACACACACACACACACACACACAAGTAGAGATGTTAGAAAAAAACTTACTGTATGTTAATATGAGATAAAAAATTTAATCTAGGTTTTTATCATTTTGACAATGCAAGTGTTTTACTTTTAATTTACCACAAAGTTGACTGCCTCCGATGATGATGACGAAGATGAAGATGAAGCTGTTTATTTCTGGGTCTTTGATCTTTGACATTTGGAGTTCTCTTGTGCATGACTTTGTATCTGGATCTGATGAGAGTTTTATCATAAATCAGTCACTGTCACAGTTAGAGTTGGTGTAAAAGCAAAGGTGTAGATGATAACATCAGTGATGCTGCTCTGCTGATGTAAACCAGATGTACAGAGCTGGGATGTTACAGGATATAAAAGGTCACAGTCACTCTCAGTGACTCAGTTTCCTTTGTGTCTTTTTCTGGTGGTTTATAAAACCAGGGTTTCTACACTGGTTGAATGCAGTAACAAATCACAGGTCTGAATGGTTTGCTGGACCTCCTCCGTTCATCTATTTCACACTGAGTGAACACACAATAAAAACATGAATGAATAGAAAATCTTCCCACGAGCTCCAGATGAGAGAGTTGTCACGGATCTGGATGACAGTCCGTGGTCGTGAAAGAGAAAAACAAAAAACAAAAAATGGTTCCGTGTGTGGAAAGGCTTCAATACGAGGATTTTTTTAGATCAACATAATGAAGACATTCAGATGATAATGACGGATCAGATACAGGAGAAGGATTTTACAGATTGTTATGCATATGAGTTCTCGATAATTATAATAATTTTATAGTAGAACACACAGTTGACATTGAAGTATTTGTTCCTATGCAGTGTTTGAATTTTACTTAGATGATTTTTAGCAATAGATATTTTATTTACAGATACCTCATGGCTACAAGAACCTGCACAATGCAAAAATAAGTCATGTAGTCACTGAAGCAGAAAAAGAAGAAGAAGATGACGATGAAGCAATGCTAAAACCATTTGTTTGTCTGTTTATTTTGATTCTAAAGTTGCATAATTGCCTTTCAAACCTAGAGCTACTAGGTTACAGTTAACTGACAGTTCATTTAGCTAATTACAGACTAATCAAGTGAGAAGTCAGCGCACGCTATTGTCAGTGCCCTGGGTCAAAGAACTGTTCAATGAGAGAACAATAAGTTCAATCAGTCTCTCTCTCTCTCTCTCTCTCTCTGTGTGTGTGTGTGACTGGCACAGCTGCTTCAGGGGGAAAAAAACCTTGCCAGATGTTTTATAGCAAAATGATTGTCCTTCAAGGATAGTCACAGTCTTAGTTTGAGAACCCTGTCATAAATTTTGCTGACCTCTCCTCATTCCAAAAACAATTTCAGCCCAAACTTAGAAAAGTCCATAAAATGTAAAACACCATTAACACCTGAGGGCTCCTTCTACTTTGCCTGATGACTAATGCCTCTTCTTCAATGTTCTGCTGCTTCATCTGCAGGTCTCTCATGACTTTGCCATTAATTTCAACCCAGATGATGATGAATGTGAAGGTAAGCCAAATGGCTTTGTTCATAACTTTCTTTTAGTGGGGCATCTGTTTCAAGCTGCTGCTGCTGCTGTTGCTAATGCTGCTGCTAATGCTAGATGAGCTGGCATCTGCGAGGGCACAGCTGGTAAAATACTTATAATGCTGCAGATTCCACATTATCAATGTGTATGCAGCACTAATCACGTCCAATAAAATGGCATACATATCAGAAAAATAAACCAATGCTGCTATTCAAAGCATGCATTAGTATTCAGGGGAATATTTACTTTTTCTGCTCTGTACCAAAAAGTGATAATTGCATGTATAGGTTTACTATTAACTTTCCAATTCTAAGAAACATTAGGACACATTGAAAATGCAAATTAAAAATAAGTTCTTAATTTTCCATCAACTTATTAAATTATTAGGGTTATTCAATATTAACTTTTGCTGATATCTGATATGTCAATATTGTCAAACATTTAATTTCCGATTCCGATATCAACCAATAGCGATATGGGCCTGGCAATATTTATTTATTTATCTGTACAAACCACAGTAGGAGCGTGAGATTAATTAAATGAGTTGCAGTGTTGCCATCTAGTGACTTTCAATGCAATATACAGCCGTTTATCTCCGAACTATTTTTAGGGCACAAATCATTTGGCGAAACCCAGGCATTGTGTTATCAATTCTTACAGATATTACATAAGATGCTAATATCGGGCTGATAATATCTGACATCCCTACAAAAATTATAAGAAATTTAGTATTTTTTTATTTGTTACATATTCAATCAGTCTACTGAGTGAGTGTGAGGCTGCAGTACCTCAGGCCACCAATAAACCACCATGTCACTACGATAGACAAGGAAACATGGGTATCAATGGGTAGTTCACTTACACAACAATTAGTGTTTATGTAAAGTAGACAAATGAAATTCAATTGGTCAATAAAATCATGTCTGTCCTGACTGGGGTTGGATGTGAAATTAAGTTTGTTTGTTTTATACCAGCTTCACCAAGTATTTCTGTGCTGCTGTGGACTGAAGTACTGTATTGACCTTTGATGGCTTGTTTACAGTTGCTAGGTGTGGATAATTGCATTGCAGCGTGTTGTGTTCAATTGTCGCCCTTCATCTTCCTGTGTTTTGTTTGGACAGAGATCCAAGGGGTGGTTGAGGCGTACCAGAACTGCCTGCCTAAGATCCAGTTGTACGGTCCAACCAACGTGTCTCCCATCATTAGCAGGATAGGCAGACTGGCAGCAGGGGACGGCATCATTAAGGACGCCTCTGTGAGTGTCTCTTTGTACCAGTACAATGTAATATCTGCTTTGTCCATTCCTCCCCCACTGGGTTCCTGAGTTCCTCTGATTAGTAGCTCACTGTTGAAAACAACGAGTGAATACTACAATACATGTTGTGGTTCTCTACTGTATTTAATACCTTGATTTTCCACATTTACATTAAATTGATACACACACATAAGGCCATTGCTGTACATAAGCACTCTCCTGTGCTTCTATACCAGCCGAACCAGCATGTAAAGCCCTGCTTCACTTCACCGTGGTGTCCCAGCTCCGTTGGTGTTCTAAAGAGGTTGACAGTAGAACGGCTTAATTTACTCTGAAAGCTCTTGATCTTCTTCTATTTCTTCAGAGGTACCACATCCTCCTCATCCTCACTGATGGCGTAGTGACAGACATGGCAGACACTCGTGAAGCCATTGTGCGTGCCTCCTACCAGCCTCTCTCCATAATCATCGTCGGCGTGGGTAACGCAGACTTCACAGACATGCAGATTCTGGATGGAGACGACGGAGTCTTACGCTCACCTAAAGGAGAGCCGGTCCTTCGGGATATCGTGCAATTTGTGCCGTTCAGAGACTTCAAAACGGTCAGTTTTTGACTTTTCTGTCAATCTTCACTTCACCTCAGTGCTGGGGGGTTTTATATTCATGACCTTAACCTTGGTATTTCAAAGAGCAGGCGTTTGAAGGCTCAGTCAGATGCAGATGAAGAGGATGAGATGCCGGACTTTATACATTTTAATAAAAATAGTGAACTTTTATTGCATGCATTCACAATAAGTAGTAATGGTCTGTCATTCTTCTTGACTCCTGGTCACATGACGATAATGGCGCTGCTTTAGTTACACATGGGGAGCCAACAAAAAGGTTCTTTAATACAATAGATGATGGAGTTAAATTGTAGAAACATGTCTTCTCAGGTGTTTCAAACTGTTTTGACACGTTTTATTATTTTGTTTTTGTCAAGTTCTATACAATTAGACTATAAAATACTTTTTTCAACCCCCAAAAACTATCAATTTTGAAGTCCGAGTTAACAATACATAACATTTATACATTTTTATACAAAACTTAAATGGAAAACTGTTTATTGAAGATTCATAACAGGTTGGGATCTCACCATTTTCAGCAAACAGAAGGGTTTGAAAATATTTAGATTTGTTTACCCAGACGAGATCGTACAGGGCATACTTTTGGCAAATACAATGCGTACTCGGTGTACTATTGGCTGATTGAACATGCTCTTCTGTGCTGATTGGCTCACGCATCTAGCATATATATATACAGTATATATATATATAGCCCTCCTTTGGGTTTTCTCTCTTTTGCATATGTAAAAATATATACATTTAAGTGATTATATGATTATAAGAGTCTGTTTTTCACAGCGTGAAGAAGAACTGGACCTTAATTCAAGTCACTGTACAATAACACCAATACAGTACCGTGTAATTCAAAGGCTGCAATGTTTAACACATGATGGTGAATAATTAGATTAAAAATGTTCAACCTTCTCCGTTGCAGGCTTCACCTGCAGCTTTGGCCAAATGTGTCCTGGCAGAGGTTCCCAAACAGGTAGTGGAGTACTACAGCCACAAGGCCATCCCACCCATGTGTCCAATGAGAGACTTACACACTCCAATCCTCAGCCCGTTAGCCACCACTCCAACAGAATAACAGCCCACACACATCCCCGGGGAACGAGCGTTGACCTCTGCACATATGGGCCAAACTGAGAGGGACGAGAATGGAGGAGGATGGTCTTTGTGTCTAGATGTGCTCTTTCTTTTTCTTTTTCTTTTTCACACATGGTGTTGATACCAGATCAGCAGCTGGTGGTTGTGTCTTTCTGCTCCACCTAAAAACCATTCACTAATGTTCAAATGGCCGCGCAGCCGTTCCAGTATCATGAGTCCAAAACACTCTGTTATTTCCATCAGTTATTCATCATCGATGAAACTTCATTTGAATGTAGGCCTTTTTGAAAAAAAGTCAGTTTCTAATGCATTCTTTGCATCTTGACCTTATCTGCTATGATTTTTTTTAAATTATTTTTAATCATTTTTAAAGATACACATGTAACTTAGATCCAAACCAGGATAAGTACAAGGGAATAATGCCGTCTTTTTAACTCCTTATAAGGTCGATTGACAGAGAAGTCAATCAAATTATATATATATAAATGACGTATATGCTGTTTTTTAGGCGGGTGGAGGGGGTGTTGAGGCCGGAGGGGGTGTGTTTTCTTTCATGGTTCTGATTCAGACTGATTCACTGTTTATTCATTTACTCTTTGCTGTTTCTATTCACAGCTAATAAGCTTCATCCATACAGTTTACTAATCAGCGGAGGAGGCGTTTAAGTCACTGTGCCAAAAAACTCAAGACGTGAACATAAACATCAAACTTTTTATAAGGGTGGCTGTCAACAAAACTCAAATTTACAGCATATACATTTTTCTGCAACAACATTGTTTCCAACGTGAATACGAGTTAGTGAAAGACATAAAATACGACACCACAATGCAGCAGTAGTTTGTTATAGTTGTTAGGTATAACAATTACCAAAATGTCAACTGATTTATTAAAATGAAATGACAGTAAATGACAGCTGTAGTCACACAAGTGCATCCTCAAATGGTTGAGTGAGTTTGGTGTTTTGACCCTGTACAGAATAATTTGGTCTCATCTTTCAATTTTTTTTTTTACTTTTTAATTCATTTTTATAATGCCTGTTACTTTCATGTAGTCATCAGATTATCAAGTGTTTCTCATTGAAACATATTAACGCTTCAGTCTGAATGGCAGAAGACCTTGATGTTGAAAAGCTGCGGAAAAAGTTAAGTTTTTAAAAACCATGGATGATGTCACAAAATGAAGACTATGAGTGATTTGGCTGATGGTCTGCATTTAAAGAAAAGATCAGTTTGATGTGAGATGATGAGGAATTATTAGTTAGTTACTAATTTGGATTTGACTGAACACTTAGTGGCAGGTAACCAAGAGCTCTGAGATAGACATGTTGGTCTGTCTGTTGTTTCCTCCACCCTGTACTGAAATGATCTACGTTAAGATGGTGCCACCACGATGGGACAACAGAACAAAGCAGGGAGTTTTTATGTGACTAAGAGAAATACTACAATCCAATAGTCAACCACAGCTCTGAATGACTGCGTATAAAAGTCCAATGTTGAGGTTAAACTGTGAGAATCAAATGAATGAAAATTGAATTAAAAAGGTTTAACAATAATATGAACAAGTAAAAGGAATTAACATGTTACCCCTGAGTCTTATTTGGTAATTAGGGCTGTCAAACGACGAACATTTATAATGTGATTAATCACAGGGCAGCTGTGGATGGTTCTTGTTACTCGTGACTAATTGAACTAAGTGACTATGATTAATGAAGGAAAAAAAACTTATTTTCTGTATATTGCAAAAGCATAAAGACAAATAACAGCAGGCAGATGGATGATTTAAAACCTGTTTTTATTTGTGATAAATCCAAAAGATTGACAAAAATGTCAAGAAGAATATGCAAAGCTAGAACTCAAAGTTTAGCTTCATAGAGTTGGTGGATTTTAGTCAGTACTGTTCATCTTGTAAAAGCTTTTCAAGCTAGAGATGCTAAGACATACAAACTCTTCCCCGCTGTTCTAGAGAATAACAACTTGTATGGACGGTCAGAACAACCAAGTTAAATGTCAAATAATGAAACCTTAAAGAAGTTCAAGCTTTGTTAGATAGGGAAACTCATCTGCTCTACTTCATCTGTCGTATTAACCTCTGCTCTCTGCACATTCACCACAAACACTGTGATTTCCTTCACAGAAACACTGTGATTAGTGGGAAATAATATATATATATATATATATATATATATATATCCAGCCCCCCACTCTGACCACACTATTGACTACTTATGAAGGCACATAAACACAGCTCTGCTCTAACCGGCTGTGAAGTTCTTTGAAGATCACAGTGATTGAGAATGTTTTTTGCCGTCGGGGTGGATCACGGAATGAGGTGTATTGATTCAGCTGGCCTTGAATTAGAGGCATGAAGAGATACTTGCAAGTCATGGAGGGACTTTGGTCTCATGATGGAACTCACTTCTATACGGCCGGTTCTTTAACGTAGTGTAGAGACGGAAATTCATTGACCTTATTGATCTCTGATTAAGAAAACACAGCCGTGTACCACTCCAGTGCTTTAATCGTGTGCTTTAATAATGTCTTTCACTGCACACTGCAAAATGTATAATGGGAAGTTTATCATTACAAAATAACTGCAATGACAAAGAAGTTCAAAGAAGTCTTGCATTTTTCTCGAAGAACCCAGGAAACTTTCTCACCAGACTCGTTGCTGTCTCTGTCTCAGCGGCCATATAGTGGGATTTCAGTTGACTCAATAGCTACTGATTTATTAGTAAGAAAGAAAAGGCAGCCTCAGATATGAACCAATATAGTGTTCCTGGTCACTGACAGCCAACTCTTGTGTGTCTTGATATTAAAAACGGCGCTAACTCTTTGACCCCTGAGGCTTCGTCCCATGTCACCTTGTTTCAGCCTCAGGTTATGATCCATACAAGCAGAGATTCACCGATCCCTGCTGCACACATGCACAACGCACACACATTTTAATCTCCTTTCCCATTGATTTACCGAGATTTTCGACTTGCTTTATTACTGTTTCATTATTCATCTGTGGGCGAACAAATCTTACTGGCTTTAACTGAACCAAACATTTTACATACGTGTTATACAAGAACACGCTGCAAATATTACGTTTCTTTATTAATGTGTCAGTTTTGCTTTGTACAAGACGCTCATTTGAAGCAAACCTATTTATCCTGTCATTGAGGGGCGCATTACATTTTGATGAAAGGTGTATAGAGCATTCAGAGAATATCCTTCTTGCTTGGGAACCAACCAGCTGATCTGGATTCAGTGGGAACATCTACATGTGATAAAAAAAAAACAAAAAAAAAACAACATACAATGTAATTATGGGAACTCAGTGTTTGTGATAACAAGTTGAAGCTGAAGGCAACAGCAGGAAAAAAAAATACATGGCAGACTTAGATCACAATTAAAAGGAAGAAATGGATGTGTTGCTTCTTACTTCTACATGTTGTTGCCCCAGTTTCAGACTTAATGAAAGAGTTTTTTACAACACACCATTGTATCTAAAATGTCCCACGTGTCAGAGTCAATCAGAACAGGGTGTACAGCCTTAATATGCAAGTTGTGTAAATAGAGGCTGTGTGGAGTAGAAACAACCCCCGGCATCATTAGATAATATTGTATTTTTTATTTAAAAGGAATAAAGGGATTCATTGCATGTGAATTTTTAATGGTCGACCTGTGCCGTGCGGTCATTTATTTGGATTGTATAATATGCTAATATGCAAAAGCTGCATTTTGCACAATCCTCTGTTCTCCTTGTTTTACTCTCTCGGTCTTGCTGTTGGAAAAAATAAATATCATCAAAGACTGTGTTATCACGTAAGTTTTTATTTTGTTGAAAAAGGGATAGAAATAATTCAATGTGAAGTTTTGTCTTAAATGCCCTTGTGCTCCTGTTGACTCATTTAAGTGATCAGCCCACAGAATCCTTTCTCATAGCGTGCCACCCACTGTTCCAGCCCGATGAATAGAAATGAGACGTGTGCATTGAGAGGTAGTGTGTGCAACCACATTTGCCGTTGCCTTGTGTGGCTTGGCTGCTGTGAGCACCTACCCCACAGAGAAAAAAGAAGAACCCAGCCTATCCCTTTAATTCCATCAGACAGCTCCTTTTATTTAACAGCTATTGTTGAGAACACTGAATAACGCCTGTTACCATGGTGACACCTACTTGTATGGAGACATGGACCTTCATTTTTTTCGTCAGATTCAGGGACAGAGATGCAGGGTGTGGAGATGGGCTCTGTGCTCATGATGGGGGAGTAAAGACGAGGTTTGACTTCAGGTCCATCCTAGAGCCACTGACAGACCAGAGGAGGTCGGAGGTGGTGGGGAGGGGGTTCATGGGGGGGAGTACTGTCATTTAGCGGGTTGAAGTATGGACGCAATTAAATAACACTCACCTCCACTTAACATTGACTAGTAATACAATCAACAACAGACCATGTACGGGGCTCTGCTGCTGCTGCTGCTGCTGCTGCTGCTGCTGTTGAGCTGATTTAGTCAAATCAGCTCATTACCTCCACGTTATCAGATTAACTTTAGTGCCTTTAAACCCAGCTGGAGTTCCCCACCACGGGTGATGTTGGGAGATGTAAAGGGAGTCACTGTACAAACAGGAAGGATGGAGCGCTCATTGCTTTGTATTCCCGCGGCCTGGTTACTCAACACTTGGCTGTAATGAGGAAATGACTAATAAGAGATGGAGAAGAGGGGAGGAGGGGGGTCTCAGTGGTAATTAACTGTCTCCTCCTTCCCTCAAGGGAACAGAAAACACACCTTTGAACAGCTCCAGCTCGCTCCTCTGATCTCTCATACAGGCTTCTGTAGCCTCCGTCAGCCCGCACATGGAATATGGATGTGCATAGAATTTTCTAAGAGGAGCCAAGAAAAGAGAGGAACAGAGGAGGTGAAGGGAGGATAATGGCATGGGCGGGGGAAGGGAAGGGAAGGAAGGACATGCGATCTAAAGGAGAAGGAAATAAGAGGAGAGGGAAAAAGTAACAGTGATGAAGGGAGTAGAGGTAGGGAGAGAAAATGGAAGAGGAGGTGGGGGGGGGGGAAACCTTCCAAAGAAATGTGTTTGTCAATGATACTCTATAATGAATGACATAGCTTCAAATGAAGCACACACACACACATACACACACACAGAGCCAGACCAGAAAACTCCTTAGAAAACTCCTTTTTTCCTGGATGTGTGTAGTCCATGATAACTGATATTGTATTCATGTGTAATTGTTCATCTTTGCCACATGTTCTTTCACCTAATCTCTTAATCTACTACATCCACTGCATAGTCATGTACTGACCTTTACCTTTACATGTGTTTTGTAATTCATTGATGAAGTTCAAATTTTATATAGCCACAATCGTCATTTGTATTATTAGGCCCATAGTTTTTACTTCAAAGCAAATCTCTTTGAAATGATCTGGTCAAGACGAACACGTAGCTCAACAAATGGCTAAGGTTTCCATTTTTCTTATTTCTAAATGAGTGTGAGTCTTTAAGTTTTGATAAAAAGAAGTAACATCGTGTGTACTTTTTGAACATAAATAGTAACAATATTAGTGTACAAGACAGTGACAGACGTGTCTCCTATTCTCCTGCCCCTACGTATCAACAGAAACAATAATTTAATTAAACCCTGGAGTGTCTGGTTGAACAGCTGCACTGCTCCTGGATCTCTACTGCACTCCTTATTTCCTGCTTCATAAAATCATCCTCTATAACTGTGCTAATGTAACCTGTGGGACTGTGCTATTGGTTAAAACTTCTCAATCTCCCAGCAGCCTCCCTCTGTAACCGAGCTGGCAGAGAAACCAGGAAATCATCCCTGTGAGGGAACCCTTCGACTACAGGAGCTGTGCAGATAATGAGACACACTGAGATACTGTGTGATGATTACAGTCAAGAATCAATTTGGATTCAATGTTGATGTGAAGTCATAACTCTCATCTCTGGCTTTCTTCCAGAAATGTGGTGTGAAACGTTAGAATCAGTCCAACGCCTGATGAAAAAAGACACATATGTCATTAGACCAGCTTTATAATACAGCAGTTTAATTTTTTAAACCATCTGCTTACAATAATTTGCAAAATAATGTGAAAAAATTTGGAGAACTTTTCTTTGTTTTTGTTTTCCACATGGTCTGGACCAGATCCTGGGGAATTATGGAGCTCTTTATCTGCTAAGTGCTAAAGTGTATTCATTAAAACTGCAGGTTTAGAGATAATTTAACAGACTGAGAGTGGTCATAATGAACCGATAATGCAGGCTGTGCACCTTCAGGGAGACAGTAAAAAATAAAGCAGAGATTATGGTGGTTTTAGAAACAAAACATTTCAAAATACATTACATTCTTTAATGAGGTAAGAGCTAAAAAAGAAATCTCACAACAAAAGCAAAACAATTTAGTAATTTTACAAATCACCTGAATCCTTTCCTTAACTAGGTTGAAATTAGAGCTTTAGACTGGTGTTGAACGCACAGTCCAGGGGCCACTTTTGGCCCACGAACCCCTCACATCAGGCCTGTGAAAATATATTGTCAATTGCTATTTTTTATATATATATATATTTTTTTTAATGCTTTAGTTGTGATTGAAAAATGAAATGCTGTTGAGTATTCCATCAAACTCCATGATATTTTGTTTTCTGACACAGACAAGTCCACTCCAAAATTTTAATAAAAAACTGTGCAGCAAAAGTGAACGTAGCATTGTACCGTGACGTTGTCACAGAGGACTGCCAAAACATCCCAAAATCCACACTCTCTTCCAGTTCTTCCTTATGACCTACGGAGAAGAGGGGAGAAACTTGAGTGATAGACGTTTCCCCTAAGGAACTTCATGGTAACACCTTTGCAAATCAGCTGTCAGTTCATCAGTACAGAAGAATCACTGTGAAAATGTCGCATCAAACCAACGACAGTTAATCTAAAGGCAGTCAAACTGATATATATATATTACTAATTTGACCATCTTTTTTCTTTTCTTAACCTTCCCAATCAGAATTTTTCAACAGGGGTTCAGGCCAAGCCCCTAGTGGTCTGCCTTAGTATTACATCCCTGTTGTAAATATAATACTTGGTTGACATTTCTTTATGTTTGTCTCTAATTTTAAATGTATTCAAAATGAATCCAAT